TACCCACTGTATTTCCCATATTCACGTAACAATAGTCACTTAACACAACTCATAGCTGGAACACACAGACACAACTAGAAACTTACAGAAATACACACTGCTAACTATCTAATATAATGTGTTATTATCATTTCAGCAGTGGTGCCTGGAGAGTGGCTGCTCTGACATTCTTGCCAAGTGACTGATTTCTATTCCCCCACTGAGAAGGCAACAGCTGAGATGAATGAATACAGAAGCACAGCTTTCCAAAGCAAATACCAACATCTAGCTACAGTTAACAACATGCTATCACACACCACATGAAATGTACAAAACTGATGACACATAAGCAATCAGTGGGATAATAACCACATGGGTTGCAATTTATAAAATGTGACCCCAATGCTGAAGTCAATAAAGAGTCATGCTAGTTAAAAGTCAAGCCACAGTATTTTGGTGAATAATAAATAGCAACAGATGCATTCTAGTTTAATCAATACTCCGGGTTTAACAATGCTAAAACATTCAGAATAGATTTGGAAGGAGGTTAATCTGAACGGTAGGAGAGATCACTAATCTCTCAGGGGAATTAACACTGTCTGTTTACACCCACTACTGCAACAAGTATTTTTATACTGTCAGTTAAACTGGAGCAATGAAAAAGGTAATCATTTGGCTTTACTCGTCCCATTGTACAGCAGGTCCTGTCTACATATTACTGAACTTAGGAAAGCTGTATCCTTGGTGCATTGTGCGTAGAGGTTGACTTATCAAGGCACCTACAGCTGCCATTCATCTGCATGCTTCTGTCTGGCTGCTTATGGATAGGCTTGTCTAAAAAGCAGATGTTTTTCCCCTTTAAGGATTTAATTCTTGTAAACCCCGTTTTGTAAATTGTTCATGTAAAGCATTTTTAGCAACAGCCATTCAAGATATTTGTATTGTATTTTGTAATAACATTACTATGCACATACTGTAGTTGTAGTAGTTTCATTATAAATGGCAAAGCCTGCCAAAGCGGTGGCACCATCTCATGCTGGTACCACTGGTGCCACCATGTCTAACAGATGGTGGCACCACCTCTGTTTTACAACATAAAAGAACCTGTATTTTTCACAATTGTTTAAAATACCCTTACCATCCAATGTACATAGCCTGTATACATAATGAAATTCAGAAAGAGGGAGAGCCATGGGACACAATAACTGGAAAAATCACTTCTGGAAGACGTTTCCATCTCTTTATCTATATCCTATAGCAGTCAACATCATGACAATGATGATGATGGGCTAGTATATTTCACAACAGCTGTCTGTCAGCAGGAGGACAGCACAGTTTTCACCAGGCTGACTGAGAACAGAAATGTACTGGACAAAAATAGTGTTTATGTAGGCTCATCAGTAAGGAATCAATGGATGGTTTTAATCATTTAAATTTTCCCGATATAGCTACAAAGGGTGGGAGAAAATCTCACAGTGACACCAGGAGCCTGATCAATCAGAAGATATTCAAGTAAAAAGTTTATAACACATAAACAAGATAATATGTGATGTAGCTGATTTAAGCAGCTGTCCCGTGTGATTACACTTCAAGTGTGCCAAAGGAAAAAATAGACTGGAAGTGCAAAAAAAGAGGTCCAGAGATGATGTGTGTATCTCGAAGTCAGTGTGGATTGAAACATTTGATAGATTGGAAGTCTCTGTTTCATAAGACAGGCAAGTGACAGATCTGCAGACAAACACTGTGATGACAGTATTGCAGAGATTGTTCTACAGTGAAAACTGTTGTTCGTGCAACCTTTTTATTTTACAGTTGCACCCAGTGCAACCTTTGAAGAAAGTCAGTCGCATCTCAAATAAATTTAGTCACAAACTGTGACTAATCACTCAGTCTGGAGACTTGATATGGGAATAAAATACTGCATGAACATTCAACACATAATATGGACAAAAGCTGGCACCTATGCACATTTCACATGTGGAAGACAACATTTGATCATGAATTTAGTATCAAGGCCTCACTGTGCTCCACACAAACTAGTTCTTTCAATCACATCACATCCAAAGGCAAAAGTGTTTAAACCTGTTCCGAATGGCAACTTTTAAAGGAATAGTTCAATATTTCAGGAAAAATGCCTATTCACTGCCAAGAGCTCATAAGAGGATCAACAGTCATATGTCCGTGTTGTGACTATACAGCTGCCAGCTAAAGCTGGTGAGTTTTGCTTTATGTGAAAATGGAGCAGATGATGCAAGAACAAAATAGGTGAAATAGGGTAAACAACTAGCCTGGCTCTGGACAAATGTACCAAACTCCATTTGCCAGCACCTCTAAATCTTACAAATCTGTCAAAAATTCTAGAATCATTAGCCAATTCACAACTACATACTGTAGCTTCCTGGAGCTTAACAGTGTCATCCAGCCACAGCATTCAGGCTTTAGACCTGCTCATAACAAAATAACTGCAACAACAGATGTTTAGGAAAATGTTCATTTACTTATCCAGCATTATAAATATTTAGCAATATGGTTAGTTAGTAGATTGTACTACAAAACTCATGCTGAGCATTGTGCTCAAAAATTAAAAAGTCATATTGGTTTCTCATACTAAAACAGAGCTTTAAAAAAAAATTATACAACACTACCAATATACTGTCTACATTAGATTATGGAGATATCCTGTATGCTCATGTTTCTGCATCTACCCTCAAAAACCACCGGATGCTGTCTACCACAGCGCCATTCATTTCATTACACATGCCAGCTAACAAACTCATCACTATGACATATGAAAATGTTCGATGGCTGTCACTGGCATCATCATCCCTGTATATTTATTTATAAGGCCTTGCTATCCAAGCTGCCAAGATATTTAACATCCTTAGCTGAGGTTAGAACTTGTATCCATGACACAAAATCACAGGAGAAATTGGATTTAAAAGTTCCTCATACCAACTCTTGACTGGGACAGAGTGGCGTCTGGTTTTATGTACAGTATCTCACTACTGGAATGAGCTGCAACACACCTTTGGGGAAAAAAAACAATTGCTGCATAAACTCTGGTAACCATATTGTAACTACACATGCTACACAAAAGTCATTATCAAAAACCGATAAGTCTGAAAAACATAAATTACAAATTGCTTTAGTAATAGTTTCCAACACTGGAAACTACTGGTGTTTTACAGAAGGCTCTCAAATGAAGCTTCAGAGTTGTGCCAGATTGTATGATCATATGATAACGCCGCAGTCACACTATGACAAAACCTAATTTTCCCTTGTGAAAATGTTAACCATCTATCTGCCAGTCAGTGAGCCTGGGTTGTTCTGAGCAGGTCAACAGTGTCTAAACAGAGGCAACAGCTAGTATTCTAATGATAGCCAGATAACAATGGTGCTGAAACAGGAATTAGATTAGCTTTCTTTTTCTAACCTGAGTCACTCAGTATACAGTGTGAACACACTCTGTATTCAGCTTGCACTTTATAAACAAACACAGTTATACAGTCACTACAGAGGAGCTTAGAAAAGAGACAAACACAGAGACAGTCAGCCTGACTTAGAAAAAGTGATATACAGTATGTATGGGCATGAAAATCTAATTCAAGGGAAGCAGACGCTACATCAAATGTTACTTTTTGATAATTATGGTAAAGGCAGACAGGTAGAGAGAGACAGAGATGTTTTGAGATGTCACACAGACTGACCGGTCTTGAAGGTCGTCCAGGCAGCGTTGGAGATGAACCTCACCAGCAGTAATCAAAACATGCTCTCCTGTTTCCTGGATCAGAACCTCAGCACAAGGATCTGCCTGATTCAACAAACGCATCCCACGCACCAGTTTTGGCATTTCACCTAACACACAAACAAATAAGGTGGAGACCAATATATTAAACTGTCTACATCAACAATTTATTGGCCATTCCGTTCATTAATATACAGTATTATTATTTTGGCTAGAAAGCAGAGTGACTGTAAATTAAATCCAACAAGACTAAGGGTTCTATTTTATTTGTGAAAATACAACGACTAACACAGAATGGCAGGTACCGGGCATACGCCGGAGATACCCACTGTGTGGGTGTCTCCACCTGCTATTTTGGTTCATGTACAGTACCAGTAAAAAGTCTGGACACACTTTCTAAGTCTGTGACTTTCCTTTGTTTCTATATTTTCTACATTGTAGACTAAAAATTCAGACATCAACTACTTCAGTCCTTTGACGACTGAGTCGTTAGGGGACATAGAGGAGGATATAGTCCCACACCGGACTATATTGACTCGGTCGTTATGGGACATTTTTGGCCACCAAAGGACTGGAACACCACCCGGGGGGATAAATACCTCCTGCTCACCACCAGTCGGACAGAACTGATGAAGCCTCTTGGATGAGAGGTGAAACGTCTTCTACCTAAAAACAGGTCCAGTTGATTTTTTTCATCTTACCTGGATGACTGAGAATTTGCACGGACATGATCTTAACTAGCTTCATGAAGTAGTCACCTGGAAAGGTTTTCAACAAACACCTGTTTGCCTTGTCAAAAGTTAACTGGTGGAATTTCTTGCCTTCTTAATATGTCTGAGATTGTGAGACTTCAACAGTTGATTTGTACCATGAGGAAAGAAATAAATAGTAAAATAATGAGGAAAAGGCTTTTAGGGATCAACATAACAGTGGCAGTTTTAATTGTAGCATATTGTCATAAATATTCACATCATAACTGGAAAGGATGCACTGGACTGACGAGCCACAGTAACTCGTAGTCTCCTGTATAAACGGGCAAAATGCTGTGTTCTAACTGACTGGTTTTATGTGTATAGAGGTGTGTGGCTGTGTGTGTGTTTATTTCCTCTGCACATCACTGCCAGCACTCACCAGCTAGAATGGCAGCAGACTGTACTTAGCAGCTGCAATGCAGCCAGAACGCAACACTTCTTGTGAGCACTGCTGGTTAGAATTTGTTCTCTAAATGACCACAACTGTCTGTACAAAATATTGTGCTAATCCATCCTGTAGATGTTTAAATATTTCTAACAATAAGTGAAAACTTTGGCTGGTGGCAATAAATGAAAAAGCAGGGGATGAGCAACGCCATTAGGATTCATCTTCTGGGCGCTATACAAAACCATCTGGAAATGCACTGCCACCCATTCAACATTTACAGATATGTTTGAGTTGACCAAATGGTTGACTGACATTGTGATAGCCAAGCCACTACATGCAGCATACCTACAAATGAAAGTGCCTCAGATTAGGTTTGAGGGCAGTAGCTAGTCAATCACAAGTCATTTGGGTTTGGTAGGTAGGTCGGTACTTTATTGATCCCACAGTGGGGAAATTTCTGTGTTACAGCAGCAATAGAGAACAACCAACATAACACCATAAGAACAGACACATAAGAACAGAACTTCATAGAACCACGGGAAAAAAACACAACGAGGACACAGCTGCTGTAACTTGCTGCCATTCCGCACGGCGCATGTGTACGTAAGTATGTAGTAACAAAGAACACTTAGTCTTAAAATGAAAAGTTACATAGAGGCAACAAAGCATTAGGACTGATACACACAAGGATTATAAAAGTAGCGTCATCAGAATGTTGGCATACTGACTACATACTGACTAAACACTATGACACTCATGAGTGACCTGCAACGCAGTTCTCACGAAGCAAAATATCAACAAAATATCTGATTAGAGCTGAATACTATGGGCTACAGTGTAAAAAGACATTAAAAACTAAATAACTCAAAAAATAAAAATAGTGTAAACAATAGTTACACTTTCTTCTGGGGGAACCTTTCTACCTTTGTGTCACAACAGGGTGAACACAGCTAATGAAATTAATAATAAATGATAAACTTGAAGGGAAAATGAAGCACTGACAAGTATTATTAGTGTATGCTAATTCACTCCAAGGGTAAGGAAGAAGTTCCTGGTATTTGATTTTTTTTTATTGCCAAAAATAAATCTAGCTATGAAGCTAGCTACGTGTTTTTTGTTCCAGAGGCAGGTGGGTGCACCAAGAAAGCTCTGACGATTGGGACCTTGTAGCTCCTCCCTCATCTGTACTGCTGTATGCCACCACCATGCAGGCTGCAATAACGTAAGGTCTCAGACGGCATCGTCTGCTTTGTTGACTTGAGACGAGCCTTCCTTTAGGCTTGCTTTAGGTTGGCAACGATGCCCACTACAATGTCACAGAGCAATGGCAACTGCTGCATGGAAGAGTGTGCAAAGTGCAAAGACACACTGATGGTAGCAGACAGTGCACCCGAGACTACAGAGGACATGGCACACAGGTCATGGGCACACAGCATATTAACAGCTCCATCTCATCTCCAACTCAAATGCCCAGTGCACTGGCACGCTGCTCAAAATATCTGCCTCTGATGGCAAGTAATTTCCTATTGAACAAAATAAAGCTTTGATTCAAACGCAGTGTTGCATTTTATTATCACTGGAGTTCAGGCCTTGTCTCTCACTCTTTCTACCTGTCTGGTCCATACATCAGGAGCAGATTTAGTTTGTATAATGTTAATATCGCTGTAAACCAGCCTTGCCTGCATCTTAGCATTTAAAAACAATCATTTACCAACAGATCATCATTGACATTAGAGTAGACCAACATCTGCACTCACAGAGCCTGCTAAGGACTTCAAGGGACTAATTTCTTTTGCATGCAATTACTATTCTCCTCTCGGACACGTGAGAGTCCTCACCACAGAGCTACAGATGACCTTTGTGGCAGGTGTGTGTACATCTGCAGAAGTGCAAAACTATTTACTCTATATCTGATGAAGTAGAATGAAACTGTAAAGGACGGTATTTTGAAACTTTACAGTAACACAGGACAAGTATCATATGAACACACTGAAAAAGTATTCACCTGTTAGTGTGGTGTATGTTTTATATCGATGTTCCTATAGATATTTTAAAACCACAATTATCCAGAAACATTACACATTAAATACTGTAAAAGCAAAATTCATGAAGTAGATGTATGTGTGTGTGTGTGTGTGTGTGTGTGTGTGTGTATGTGCACCTTTTAGGACCTACTTGGATGTTTGGGCTCTATGGCAACTCGTACAATGGGTGCTGCCTCAAAGCTGAGCGGGGTGAAGGGTGGGCAGGCGGGGGAAGTTGACAGGGTGGCTGACTTCAAGACGCACTCATCCAGACCTCCTACACCTGGAAAAGCATAGGAGAAATATTACAGGAGGGTCAGAGTAAGACCACAGTTGTGAAGAAATGAATGATAAAAGAGCAACGCAAAGAAGAAAAAAAGAAGAGTTTATTTCAATTTTGGTGCCACAAAACCAGGGTGACTGACTGGTTCATACACAAGTGTGTGCTGTCATTGTTTCTGTGGCCTGCACAGCTCCTACACCACAATTCTATCAAGCACTTCTGGATGAGATGGATGGCTGCACCACACAATCATTCTCTGCAGTGCAATAATGTTCTTGGCCAACAAACAAAATGTAGAACCAAAGCCTAGGTAAATTCATACTATTCTGAAGGCAAGGAGAGGTTCTGTACAGCAGGTGCATGTATTCATTTGAAATGCAGTTGATAAAACTTTATTTGGCCATCAAGAGGCAATTTCAGGCAAGCAAGATAGCAAAAACAAGTACACGCAAACAACAAATTCACATTTAACATATTCCTCTATAAAATGATGTAAAGCAGATACCTGAAAAAGATAAAGTGCTTTCAATAACACAGATAACACAGTCAGTAGTCTGTGATTATCTCCAAGGGAGCTGAATCTGCATATGCAGTAGGGGCACTGCTGAGCCTTTTCACAATGATGTTATCCTTCAATCTCAGCTGACCATCAAAGATGATGACAGGGTTTAGTTTCATGGTTTTTGTAATTCACTCATATGATGCTACTGGAAATACCAAGCAGCCCAAGATGTACTTGCTTAAGGCCAATGTCGCTCGCATACTTTTAAATGATGTATGCATTACTTCAACACCTACAGAGCAGACTATATTTCGACAATTCAGTTTTATTTATTTGGTATGAATGTACCAATCCTGATTTTGCACTTGATAAAATATGATTGTGCTGTTGAAGGCTTACTTGTTATATCTACTGCATGTGTCTCTTGCCATTCTACTCCTTCCTTCCCTGCCTCTTCCTCTGGGACCACAACAGAAACCAGCCTCATAACCTGCATGATTGTTGAGGGGGGTGCCACAAATCCCCACTCACAATTATGTCACGACACTGGCATGCAGGCCTGGTCATTAGTTGAAACTCTGTGCACAAGGATACATCTAAACCACAGGCATATTATGTGTGCTGGCATCCTCAACAAATGGCTTGATTCATTGCAGTAAATCATCAAACTGATCTGCAGACACCAAAGTGCATCTTGTAATCTTTGAGAAGAATTAGTTTCCTGAGTTTACTGAACTCTCCATCTTCTCTCCATGTCTAGTTAAAAAGGTGAACAGACCATCAACTTGGTTTCCTGCTATACAGTATACACTACAATCACAACAACTCCTCTTCATCCAGAATTTCATTCCCTCTACAGTGCTGCAGTGTAGCCGCAACTCTGCAAAGCCTCGTGCTGCATGTATGAACACATCAACAGTTGCAGGCTGTGTGCACACAGTCATAGAGGGGCCACTTGCACATGATGCATGTAGCATGTGAACCCCATTGTCATGACTGCAGCACGGCAATGACTGGTTCGTAGGGACTAGTCCGTCAACTTATTAACCAGCACATAATGCAGCATTGATCTTCTGGGAACAATTGATTCCCACATATTAAGATCCTGGGCACTAAGCAAGTAGATTTGCTGCCACTTAACAGCCATCCCAATTTTCAGAACCCGACCTGCTATAGGTGTTAGGTAAGGTCTGGCACTCAAAAATAAAAGAAATGGTATCAAAAATCTAACAGCAAGATACTGACAGAGCTTGCAAGAACATCCTGAGATTTACTTACTGGGATGAGAGCCATCAACAAGAGAAGGGCTGAGGCTTCTGTTCACAGATTCTTCTCCAGCTGTTAACACCACCCTGCACCACTCCGGTGCCGACAAGAGCCTCTCACATTTCACACTAAAACTTAATGCTGTAGTCAGAGATCTGGGCTTGTTATTTCCAGTCTCATTGCACCTACACTTCTGTACATGAAAATCAATGCAAGCACATTCATCCATTTTTTAATTTTGCTATTTTCATACAAGTGTAATTGTATGTAATACAAAATGTTCCAGTGATGTTATAACCTGTGCAGCAAAAAACAGGAGTAATACTAAAACCCATAAATTTTGCTTCAGTTTTTTGTTTTAGAAAAACAAACACTATGACTGTGACTATTCTCACATTTACTAATTAGTTAAGACAAGAATCCTATTAGGTCTACTGACAAGAAACACAAACTGCTAATGTTCGCAACTGGAGCTGCTCACATTAGAAGTGACACTTGAACTCTAGACTCACAGAAAGTCACAAAAATGACAACTAAAGACTTGGCTTTTCTGAGAGTTGACTGACATGAGACCTGACTTCAGGCTTACATTCTGAACTGACACACCAGCGTGAGCACATCACTTTGGCTCCTTATCACATAACCTAGAAGTAAACAGTCATCCCTGTGGTCACTTAGTATCCATGTGTGGACACACCTAAGTCAACATACAGGTTTTGTGAAAAAAGGAACAAACACTAAGAATTTCTTTGTATTTTCAGCATTAACTGCATGTTTGAAGTACAGTAAACCACAGGACAGGACAAAAGCTGCTACGAACTGTGCACACATTTCAGAACTGCAGTTATTTGCAATGTTTAATAATTTGAATTTGCTTGGCCATTTGTTAAATATCAATAAAATGAAACCTAAGAACTGCAATTTTATGTGAACTTTTACTTTCAGTTCTCAGTATGAGTCAAGCACCAAAAACACTGCATCCTACAGTTTCCACATACCACAGTTATGTCCTCAGACTTTAGAAACACACCCCAGGGCCATACACAATTTTGACAATTGGTGGAGTAAAGTGAATTTATTTCTCATATATCTCATTTACTTGTATTTTAAGGTGACTATGGGCCACTTGCAAGTAGTTTAAGCAGTTCCAAAAAAAATTTGCTTGTGCCATTTTTAATTACTCCCGTAATAAATTAAATTTTGCCTCCCTACTGCATACTGTACATACAGAGTTTCTTCTTTAATCTCTCTGGTCAGTTCAAATTATACAGACTTTGTTTGAAATTGTACACTGATATGAACAAAGTGAATACAATTTTACAAACTCAATACAACTTATGTCACTGTGATGTGTTGAGGCAGGGGCGGGACTGGCTGGAGATTTGTTTGTGGGCCCTGTTGCCCAGTCATTGAACTGATACCATAGCCTAATCAATAACACTGCTTATAAACAAAGTCTATGACGTGTTAAAGCTACTGTATTTCTACTGAATCACTGAAAACAGTTGATCATTTCAAGCCCTGTATAATATTACTATAATACTGCTGTACTGTAGAATGGTGCTCATTAAAGTAGCCAGCTCAATCAACATGTAGTTTCTAATAATAAGATTTTAAAATATTCAACTAGGCTAGTAACATCATTTTGCTGCTGCTGCTGCTGCTGTGGGTGTTCTTACCCAACGTTATATTAGTATTCATTTATCACATATATAACTACCTTCTTTATAGCTATTCAACAGTAGGTTTGATATTTTTCTCATATGATATGCCTATCAGAATCACATTTTAATGTCAGTGCATCGTGTCCAGAGTCCACACACTGAGTATGGGCTTTGTCTTCCAGGTAGTAGCCAAAGCTGAATGGAGCAGGCAGAATATTCAATACCCAGCCATATCAAAGTCACCAGTCAGGTGCTACTGGCCTTTACCACCGTGACAGCCAAGGGGAGCGCACACCAGGAGTCTCTATCAATCAACCAGATTTCACTCTGTAAAACCAGCAACACAAAACACCATGCGTTCTGTTAGCAGTTCGACTACAATATGAATCAAATCAGCACTACAGCCAAACGATTTTTCACTTGTGTCACTCTCAAAGATGTCTGGTTCAACTCCAACGTAAAGAGTTATTCTGTTAAGTTCAAAGAAACACTAGTGTCCAGCTGTCCACCCATCTCCATTTAACCCGGCAAACAACAGAAAGTTTTGACATAACACAGGACAAAACTCAAAAAAGTTTCTCTGTCCTAACATTTCTGAAGATATGTGCACATACAATCAAGGCCAAAAAAATCAGCACCCCTACATTTCTGTCAGATATGGTATTCCAATAATTATATTTGGCCAAGACTGTAGTTTTGCACATCACTCTCTTCCTTCGTTCTCATGTCTAGTCTGAGCTCAAAAAGGAACAAAAAGGTTCATCAACACACGAGGGCCTCAAGGGCTGAACATCATTCAGCCCCCCACCTTCAAATCCACTGGTTTACTGTACATCCTTCAAGATTTCCCACATTCTCATGCCAAAGATGGAAAAGCCTATTTCCATATTTGTTTTACAAACATTATACAGACTTTATCTCACACATGTGCACAGACTTGGTTTTGAACAAAAATGTGCTGTTTTGTGTGTGCACACACTCGCACCAAGGCTTAGAGCTGACTGCCAGAGTAGATGCAGGACATTGCTGGCTGCCTCCTGTGCAACCTGACACTGTAATTACTCTAAGGTGACTTGGTCCTTAGAGGCCTCTGAATGCAACAAAGAATAGTAAAACTGACAGAGAGGAAGAAAAATGAACTCAGAGGACCCTGACAAGCTCACAAACACTACACATAGACACAACAGACTTGATGTGAAAGGAAACACAGCAGCAGAGTGACAGCTTGGACGACTCTCAGTAAGTCCTAACAAAGCAGCCTTTGAATGCGTTTCTTTGTAAAAACAAGCTGACACACACTCTCACTAGCTCTCATAAACACTTTAATCTGGCTGACCTGGAGAAATGCATGGCCAGACACACAGGCACTATAGGAGTATGGTATTCCAATCAGTTAGTAGCTGGAAACAAAACAGTTTTTTTTTCAGGAATCCTCTCAACTGTATGGACATCAGCATCAGTGATGTAAAGTCCAAAACACACCTGGCCCATACAGTGGGCTTCGCTCACAAATGTTTTTAAATTTCTTCTGAAAAACTGAATAAGAGAAACAAACTAGACATCCCTAT